CGGTAGCCGATTCCGCGACCCACCGATGTGGCAGGGCTCGTCCCAGGGTGACACGCGCGGTTCTTAACAGATCGTTTGTTAGTTCGCGGCGAAGGAACCGAATCCGAAAGGGAAGCTTACGTCGAGAGAAAGCAGCGCGAGTGAGAGAGTGAGTCAGGTGCGAAGGGGAGGTGTGCGTGCAGAAGCAAGGACACCCGCAAGGAACCCTCCGAGCATCGCGCGGCGAATGGAGAGACGGTGGTGAGGCGACTGTAACAGGCACGGAAGACGCGGCTCTCCTCCTCCCGGTTTCCGCTTCGAATCGCACGAGGTCCATCGTTGTTCGTCTTCCGTCGTTCAGGTAGCCGAGGATTACCGTCGCGAAACATGTCAGGGAACTATTCGGCTCGCTGCGAACCCGGTCTGGTGGTGCCGATGTGGCACCCCGAAGAGAACCTCTATCTCTCGGACGTGATCTTCCGCGGGATCGTTTACTTCCTGCTGTTGCTCTATCTGTTCATCGGCGTGTCGATAATCAGCGATCGCTTCATGGCGGCGATCGAGGTGATCACGTCGAAAGAGAAGGAGCTGGTGGTGCGTCGTCCGGGCAAGGAGCCGCAGATCGTGGTGGTGCGAGTGTGGAACGAGACGGTGGCGAACTTGACGCTGATGGCGTTGGGCAGCAGCGCGCCCGAGATACTGCTGTCTATCATCGAGATCTGGGCGAAGAACTTCCAAGCCGGCGAGCTGGGACCCGGCACGATCGTCGGCTCCGCCGCGTACAATCTGTTCGTCATCATCTCGTTGTGCGTGTTCGTGATACCGAACGGCGAAACGAGGAAGATCAAGCACCTGAGAGTGTTCTTCGTCACCGCCACGTGGAGCATCTTCGCCTACGTCTGGCTGTACGTGATCCTGGCGGTATCCAGTCCGGGTGTTCTCGAAGTTTGGGAAGGTATCCTGACCTTTTCCTTCTTCCCGGCTACCGTGCTCACTGCCTACGTGGCCGATCGTCGTCTTCTGATCTACAAGTATCTGCACAAGGGCTACCGGATGAACAAGAGAGGCGTGATCGTGCAGGCCGAGGCTGGCGACTCGGACGGCGGGGTGGAGCTGGAGATCAAGCCGCAGCAGGACAGTTTCAACAGCATGATGGACGCGGATACGCCCGAGGCCAAGGAGTTCGAGCAGACCAGACGAGATTACATCAACACTTTGAGAGAATTGAGAAAGAAGCATCCGACCTTGCCCCTCGAACAACTGGAAGTGATGGCGCACGAGGAGGTGTTGGGGAAAGGGCCGAAGAGCAGGGCCTTCTACAGGGTCCAAGCTACCAGAAAGATGGTGGGTGCCGGGAATCTCAGCAAGAAGATCAGCGAAAGGGCGCAGAGCGACCTCAGCGAGGTCAAGGCCGAACTGCAGAGACAGGAAGCGGAGAGCATCGACATCGAGAACGTGAACGCGATGAGGATTTACTTCGAGCCTGGTCACTACACGGTGATGGAGAACGTCGGTACGTTCGAGGTGGGAGTGACCAGGGTTGGCGGTGACCTCGGCAAACCTTGCACCGTTGATTATTGCACCGAGGATGGCTCCGCCGAGGCTGGCTCCGATTACATCAGCGCGAAGGGCACTCTGACCTTCGACCCAGGGGAAACCAAGAAGACCATCAAGCTGTCCGTGATCGATGACGAACTGTTCGAGGAAGACGAACATTTCTACGTCAGGTGAGTCTTTGCTAGATTCTCCCCTATTTTTTCTACGACCATCTCCGACATAGAACATTACCGTTCTCCCGTTCGATACGCATAGAATCGAAAGCCATTCGAGGACGTTCACGGTACACGCGTTCGCTTAATTCTAATTGTAAGTTCGGCAACTTATACATCGACTATGGTTTATATTCTTGTAATTTAAAAATCTCGCCCGAAGTAATTATTATATAAATATCCATGTTGTAACAGATACTATGGATTTCCGATATACGCGTAGACAATGTTGAAATATTTCATAATTTTCGCTCGAATTATTAGTTTAAGAATCAGTTACGTACTGTTTACTCGAATTCGACAAAAGTAACAATCCGCGATCGAAGCAGGCATCGTTCGAGATGATCGGATCTTTATGATACTTGATACGATAAATTGAACCGAAATAATTCAAGTGGGTCACATCTGTTTGGTGGAATAAATTGAATAAATTTCACAAATTGGGGATGTACAAACAACGCTTCATTTACTTTGAGCACCGATGAAACCGATGCGACGTTACAGATTCGTGAATTTATTTACGTTGCGGATAAACTTTCATCGGATTCATCGCGTTTTCCGTGTTAGTATAAATACGAGTTATACCGTACACGATTCGCGTACGAGTTTCTAAATAACTATCGAAAAATGAAACTTTCGAGCGAGAACTTTTTTTTATTTTTACATGAATATCTACTACCGCGCTTCCACAAAGACTTAATTTTTTTCAAATCAGCGAAAGGAATTCCGTTAACTCGCGATGATATTAAAACGAAAAGAACCATGAACGAGTACGAAAGGAAAGGAAAGCTCGCGACGTCCGTACGAAATCTGACGGATCGTAAGCCGGAAAAATAGGTAAAGAATCGAAGAAAAATAAAGAACGAGGAAGCAACGTGTTTCGTCGTTCCGTCAAACATGTCAGATCTTGAAAAACCCTGAGCCTGCAATTGAAAGAGGCAGAGCAGAAACTGTACAAAATGTTTCATTGTTCCTTGAAATATATTGTAGCCGGAAAAAGGAACGTTTCTGCCTTCGATGAAAATGGGTCGAGGTCGAGGAACAATAGGAATACGTAAAAAACTACGGTGACACATTGTTTTTTACGATCATCGGAAGTAATAAGTGTACGGATTGCGGTTTTCACTCTTCAATTTTGCGAAGCGGAGGCGTTGAGCAACTGGAAGAATCGTCGGAAAATTTAGTTCGTCCGAAACGTTACTTTGTAGCGGTAAAAGCGAAGTAGTACGCAGTTTAAATATTGTAAGTTAAAGTAATTAGGTGGTTTATTATCGTAATCGGAAAATAGAAGATATCGGAATCGTTGATTCTTTCTCCCTTTGAAGAGAAGTCGGTGTTTAAATTCCGAAAATATTTGGATCAGTCGAGGAAAATGGAAGCTAACAATCCGGAAAGCGATTGCAGAGGATTACAAGTAGAGGAGCGTGCAACGTACCCGGTTGATGTGCAAAAAAAGAAAGCACCGACTATCATAGAGTTATCTTTTTTTCATTTAGAGAATGGAAGGTGCGTTTAAAATGCATGAGAAAAATAGAGGAAGATGATTCGACGTCGTTGAACGGGGATTCGTAGCTTCCATACGTTTTAATCGTTTCTCATCTATCGAAAAGATTATCATAATGAAATAGCTACCGGTTCAACTTTTATTATCAAGTTTCTATCTAACGCTTGCCGAACGTTTCAGCGAAGATTACGCCTCTGTAGAAATGTCTGATAAGTAACTCGATCAACGATGTATACGTGTACGCTTGCCTTTTTTTAAATAACGCTGTTAGGAGTCTTTCCAATTAATCGTACATAGCTTAACGCGATAGGATATTAAAAAGTACGTGCCTTTTCTGGTGGCTTAAAAAGTTCCAGTTGTCCAAAGCTTCGAAAGCTGACCATACTCGACGGATCAAACTAAAATCCACGAATTCGCCCGTTTCACTTAAGACTTAAACTGTCGCGATTCACTCTCGGGAAAGGAGCAATTTTGTCGCTCTTAATCCAAGCACCTCGTGCTCGTCTCGAGTACTCGGAAGTACCGTTGGCATATTCCAGCTCCCATCTTCTCGTGACCCTCGCCTCGTTAGATAAACCCAAGCTTCCACGAAGAAAAAACACGCGAACCTTACCGCAATCTCGAACAGCATCCCCGTCTTAACACCGTTCCAATCGAAATTGCTTTTCTTATTGACTTCTGACCAATTTCTGGATTCCTCCTCGAAAATTACCTCCGACCGTATTTTCACCGCTTCGTGATTGGATGACCGATTCGATATTGACTTTAAATAATTAAGTTCATTCCTGAACATTTAATAATATAGCTAGTCTTTATTGTAAATAAAAACACACGTAAATAGAGAGTATCTATAAATACATAGAAGAGGATAGGGATTGGTAGAGAAAATTTCAGTAAGGATTACTTTCATCAAGGATTAGAAAAGTGATAGGTAATGATCAATAGAGTTAATCGAATAATAATTGGTGTTACGAAGTGCGTCGAAGAAGCCGCGAATAAATTAAGAGTCCCTTTTACGAGCGGAGTTTGAACGATAATGAAATTGCGCCCGCCATCCGGCTACAGTTAATTGAAAGATGCGGCTCTCCCAGACGATTATCAATCTATTATCGCAGCGAGCTCGTTAAACGACGAACGCCCTCAACAGCGTTTCGAATCGAATCTACTTCCGGTCTTTGATAGGGAACTCAGTCGTTCAGGCTACCGTTCCGCGAACGTCAATCTAGAATGCTTCGCGTTAAGAAGAAGAGAATAAAAAGAAACTTAAGGTGTTCCTCGAAGTTCACGTTGTATTTAGGTATCGTAGATAATCTGGTCGTATTAGCGGTCGTCGTATAATATAGAAAATATTTGAATAACAGCTTGTAAGCACGAACGTGAAAATGTGATAAAGGAACCCTTCATTTGATTTTCTCGTCTTCGCCTAAGAGTGGACTAAAGTATATCGGCAGTGCTGTGAACGTGTCCCATGTTTGAACATCTGTTCGGTAATCACTTTTCGTCGAATTCAGCTCGCACCCCCTGTAAGCATTTTTCCCGACACCTTTTATAAACCACTATATCCCTCGATAGCAAAATAACCTCGACAGAGACTGAAATCCCTCAACGAAGTCAAGAACGGAAGGAGAGTAGAATAAATAGACGACAAAGCGAGCTCAGGGTCGGCAAAAGTTTATCTACGGTACAATGTGAAAGTTTCAAGGAACTCTCGACACTATACGGAGAGAAAAAAAAACATAAAGTAGAAAGAGAAATCACAAAGGAGGTTAAAACCGAGGGAAAGCTTCAGCGACTCTGTTAATTTTCGCGATAATCTCGGGAGATCTCGCGCGTCACGCGTGCCGATTTTCTCGAACGTCGAGTCGGTTCGTGTCGCGGACGAAGCCGATGAATGAGCCTCGATAACGTTGAAACAACCGTTTTCTTTTCGCGTAACGATCGTTGGAGCAGAGTATCGTGGGTTGAATCAGGTCGAGGAGAAAATAATTATGTTTGACTGTGACACACGCGTGGCGAGAGAACGTCGACTCGCTCGATCGTCGTTTAATGGAGGAAAATCGGTTTCGAAGTTACCCGATGGATGGCGAATTCATTGGTCGGACAGAAATCAATCGGGAAGATGGTAACCCGTGCATGAATTATAGCGGTTAACGAGAAAACGATGTCACGGCTCTTTTTCTTTCGTTTACGGGAACGAGAGTGGATGGCGAACGAAGTTTCGGCAAAGTTCGACGGTGCTCTTCGAGTTCCTTTTCACTGGCCGAGTCCATTTGAACTTTCGTCCTTAAAGAAAACCAATTAGATCGAGCAATTAAATCGCTCCTATTTACCGGGCGCGAGAAATTACTTTCGTTCTTGGTTAGGTTAGAAGTTTCCGCTATACATATAAGGAATCTTTGTTCGCAGGTTAAGCAACGCGTCGCAACCGGCGATGCTGGTGTCACCCAGTTTGGCGACGGTGATGATCCTAGACGACGATCACAGTGGCGTGTTCGGCTTCCCCGAGAGGGACATCGAATTGGTGGAAAGCGTGGGACAGTATCCGTTGAGAGTGGTGAGATACAGCGGCGCCAGGGGTCGAGTCGTTGTTCCTTATCGCACCATCGAGGGAACAGCAAAGCCTGGCAAACAATACTTGCACACCGAAGGCACGCTCACCTTCGAGGACAATCAGACCGAGTGAGTTCTATGGAAATAATGTTCACCCTATCGTTCACGCGATCGCCCTCACCGAGTAATTACCAAATCAATTTAATCGAATAATTAAGGGACAAGCCACTTCTCAGCCCTTGCAAACGCGCCTAACTTTCGATCTTTCTTTTAACGAGCTGATATTACACGTATTAATATCGTTTACGAACACTTGCCCTATAGATAGAGATATGTATGTATAGGGAGGAATTGTAATCTTTTTCTCGCTAATCGAATCACGTTTATGAAATGGCAAAACTTTTAATGAAACTTTCAAGTGTCGGTCGTGGAAGAAGGATTGCGAGTTTCTAGAAAAAGTTATTTGATACGGGGATGGAGCGTTAATATAAAACGCAGACTCGGAATCGAAAAGATGAATGTTGAAGACCGCAAATGTGACAGATTTGTTAGCGACCTTAATTAGCTTACTCGGCAACCAATGGCACCTTTGAGAGAGGTTTGGATTAGGTAATTTGGGGAACTAATAGCTGATGGTCGGTTATCAAGGTGGTCGTTGGGTTTTTATCCATCGAGGGACAGGAATGGAAATTTATACTTGACCTTAATCGGATTTTCAATGGGCGTCGCCTCGAAGGAATTCATATCGCCGTAGGCAGAGCGAGGAGGGGTACGTTCCGAGTAACATAATTGACTAATCTGATCGAAAGTGTTATATAATTAGGCGATTTGTTAAGGAACGAACGATATTTATCGAGCGTTGCTCGTTACCGAGGGTGCTAGATTCCAAAGATCGATGCGATTTAAGTGAACGTCGTTCACGAGAGCTTTTAGCGTGGTTTCGTGGGGTCAGGCGACCCTTCGATCACTTTCCTTTCGCGTATGCGTGTTTATTCGCGTGTACTTCCCATTAAAGTCCATGAATAGGTTTTCCGAGGGCATTCAGTTAGGGACATTGAAGGGAGACTCGAGCGATGAGAGATCGAAACGCGTAACGTGCTTCTTTGCCGATACGAGTGAAAATTCATATCAGCTTTTTTCTCGATACGATAAAAATCATTACGAAAGCAAAGGTAATATGACAACTCTGAAACGAAGAATAACGATCATAGTAGACGCGAGGGATCCTAAGAATAAAGATGCGACGTAGGATTCTTTCGAAAGTAAATATTAAAGTACTGTTTATAGATGGTAGACATAAACTCCACTAAATCTTTGTATCCAATAAAATCGCGAAATTAGAGATCGCAGCGAATTGATTGCAGCATAGTAGGTAAGATAATGTCAAACAATTACGGTGCAATCTCAATCGTCCAAATAAAATATGAAATGAAGCCTCACGATGTAAAGACACTTCTATAGAATTAGATTCTATATCACTGTCGTAATCGATACGGAACAATGACCCGCGTGTCGATATGCCCAACATATTAGAAAAGATGTCAATTATAAGACAGATTATCATATTTTAATATATCATTAGTTCCAATATTAAAATCTCTCAGAATATTCTTCTCTCGTATTTTATTTAACTAAATCTGTAACATCATAAGCAAAGACTACCACAACAGTCAGCGCGTTAAACGCCGTGGCTGATCTATGGTGACCTCATTCTACTTACAGATAATACCCGCATCTTTCTCGCGGTTTAATCGTGCTTGCGACAAATTTATTTCCACGATTCGTATCTTTGCGAAAAATATTTAAATCTGCTTGTAAGACTGAAGAACATTCGTGGTTCTATTTTTATAACCTCGATAGATTAGCTGCGATATTTGTTTTGTTTAACCGATAACTTGTAAAATATTTGCCGGTAAATATTTTGCCGGAATAAGGTTTTACTCGGAACGTAGACGAACGGAACCAGGATTTAGAAAATATCCAGCAATTTTATGGGATGGTTATAAATCGCGAGGGATACCGCACGGAAGTGCGAGGAGCTTCGTTTGCAGTTCGTTTTATTTCCGTGCGTCGAGTTTTCTAAAACCTTCACCGTACCTTTTTCAAGGGGAAACTGTCGCGATGAAACACGAAACTCGTCGTCGACGTGCTTGTCCCACGAGACCGAATTTTCGTCGTCCCTTTTGTTCCAGACAAATGACTTTCGTTCTTCCCGACGAAAGAAAAAACAAAACAGATGAGAATCGATGATACCACTTTTTCTTTTAAAACAACCTATTGGAAAAAATTGTTGAAGGTTTCAAAGACGGTATTACATTTTCTTATCTTTAATCTCCTCGTTTTTTACTGCTGGTACAAACACTAGCGAGAGATACCCTTTTATTTAATTTCATGTAATTAAAAATCGGAAAATTTCAACCGCATGGAATATCCAATTTCCCAATTGTATCGATGCGTCCACAATGTTTGCGCTATACTTGAATCGGCGAACACGTAAACACGTCCGTAACACTTGAAGGGTTAATTAAATTTGCAGCGTCGATTACCAGCGACTTCCATAGTGGTCGTCGCGTCGATCAAAAGGAATAATATAATTATTAAAGCGATTATCGTTAATGACGAACGTCGAAAAGAACGTCGCAGGAAATTGGTATTCGTTCGACGACGAAAGGCGTTAACGGTTCAACAGCGATTCTTTGACATTCAGGGGTGATGGCAGAGCGTAACAATGGTAATACGGAGAGAATATCGGGAGGCGTCGAAAGAACAAAAAAAATGAAAGCACGAACTCGTAAATGGGCCAATAGAGGGGAGGGAAGCCCTTAGAATGCAGCGTGTTACACCCCTGTGCACCCCTCGTCCCTCGCCGAGTCAGACAACCCCGTTAACTTCTAAAGTGCTAAACACCCCCGTATCTCGCGGCTCTTTTCTTCTTTCCGTCAGCCTTTCGACTCGCACGGAGCAAACATACTCGAAGAAACAGTTTTCCTTTCTTCGAACAACCTTTTGACGGTGGTTGTTTAATAAATAAATCGCTAGTCGTGTACTTCTGTAAAGCACGAGTCTATGCAAGCTGCGTGGCAACCGTCGGACAGAAATCGTTATTCGAAAACCAGATCGATCAGGATAGAAGTATATCTACGTTACGAAACAGTCTATGTAATTAAAAGTTGCGAGAAAGAAAGCGAGAAGAAAACTTAGTCGAGAGTCAGGGCGCAGTTAATTCGATTCTTCTATTCTCCGTTGAAAGAGAATTGCAACGGATGATGCCTCAAAGAGTAAGAACGTTTGTCTTCCCTACCCACGTTCGAAAGTATCTACCTTCTCCGAGCTACAACACGATATTCTAGTTAGGAGACGCGTCGAGATAAGAAAAAAAAGGCGAAGCTGGCGTCAGTTTCGTGGAATGGGCGGCAGCCCCTTGAAACCGAGGAGCGAATCCGCCAAACCGACGAGATTTACGACGGCAGAAATCGAGGATTTATTATTCACCCCTCCCTTAACCGTCACACGGAAGATCCCGTCCACGAATGTTCGAATTCATTCCCAAAACCATGGAAAATTATGACCCGACCGAAAGTCCTGCTCGTAAATTTCGAATACGCAATCAAAAGGGGGTGGCACGGCGGGGCGGGGCTCTCGCAACCCGTGCACTGTATACAGAACGAACGCTAGAGAGTGAGAATCATGGGCGTGGGATTCTGTTCATCGATTAAGCTTCGACGAGTTTCAGACTCGCTGCTTGTAATCTGCCGCTTCTCTCACCTGTTCGTCGTCGGATCGAATGTTCTTACGCGCGACGTATTAAAGCTGTACAAAATTACGCGATACAGTTCCTTTCAACGAAGTCGATGTTAACGCGTTCGGAAAGATAGTAACGCTACAAGAGCATCGCGTTCGTGACGGCTCTTGTCGAATTCGAGTTAAAAGGACACGACTGCGAATCGAGTTGACTTTGCGGACAAGTTCGCGTTGCATGTAAATTGCGCGAATTAACTCGAAACACCTGCGACCTTCCCGCGGAAAAGATCCGCTCGAATGATTTTCCAACCGCGACGAACTTCCGAAGCCTTTGAGCTTTCGACAAAGTTCCCGTCCTATCGACGTTCCATCGACGAACTTTTCCGATTCCGAGAGTCCCTTAATGAGCGCTACTGCGACAGACCGTCGTTAGGACTCTTCAAAGCTGCCATTCGCGTATCGTCGACCGATCTATCGACTTCTTTTTTCTCGATCGTTGCAGGAACAGGGTGTGGCACATAGCGTTAACATTGCTTAACAAATTTTATTTATTTTTTTGGAACTTTACTTAGGTGGTCATGACCACTTCTTTTGGTTTTCGCAAAGTTGGAACAAGGTTACTTGTAGTAGCTCGATAGGAAATTGGATTTTTTTACAGCATAAATTCATGAGTTATAAAATATCGTATATTATTTATGGAACGTTCGGAGTCTATTTTGTCGACATTTGTGGAGAACGAAATGTTGGGAGAACAGGAAGAGATAGGAAGACGAGTAAATTGCACTAACGAGACCTGAAATTACACCCCGTCGCGTCCACTCTTTCTTCATTTGCAGCCTCCATTAAGGGGTAATTATTTTGAAACGCGTTTCTAAATACGATCGTTCGCGATCCAATAACGAGTTATTTCCTTTGTCTCCCTTCCCCAGTTACTCCTTCGTTATTTCATCGCGAATTTATGCAAACTTCTCGGAATCAACGCTCGACCTTTTCAGCAGACATTTTGCTCATAAACTGCACAGCTTTCAGGACACAGTCGCGAATGTTGGCCTAAACAGAGCCACTTTTCTCTCGGATTGAATTCTAATTCGATAGTCGATATCTTCCCGCTTGGAAAATGGAGAATTAACTGTATTCGCGTTGGAAGTTGAAACCGAAGAACGGTCTGAAAATCGTGAAGACAGTCGGCAATTAAATAAAATACGTCCGAAAGAGAAGAAAATTTTGAAGCGGATAACAAGAGAGAATCTGTCGATAACACGTATTCTCGAGAAAACAGAAGAGAGGGAGGCTCGTTCCATTCTTTATCGAATCGCACGAGTTACCCTGCTTGATAAATACCTGGCTCGTGGATCGAAGGATAATCCCATCAGCGTTTCACCAACGGT